CCCTAGATTGTTTTCAAACGCAGGCATCTTAAGACAAGGGGAGATAAGATGACCTTTTTTGTCTCACAATAGGGACTACAGTTATGTACTTCAATTTTAATATTTATTTTAAAATAAATCTGATGGTAGCCTGAGAAGCAAGAAGTCTCGCAGAACTGAGTCAAAAATATAAATCTAAAATCAACTTGACATCTTTGTTCTGAGAAATCAGTATGTAACGAAACACAATTCAATAATGACACAACAATTGAATAAAACTGACATATTTCTTGAGTATTTTGAAGAGGCTGACTTTGTGTTCAAATATTTGAAGACGTGCCCTTCACTTAGACTGCTCTGATTATAAACTCATATATTCTTCACTTCGCTCTAGGAACATAGTGACCTCACCTGGCACAGTACAGGGGCAAAAACAAAAACAAGAAATGAAGCCCAGATAGCTCACAAACCCAGACAAGAGCAGGACTGAGAAGTAGATAATGTGTTATTTATCTACAAATTGAAGTGCCTTCTTTTCTCAAACTAAAAGCAGAAAACCTCGTTTCTATTAGGCTGTAGTCATGGTAACTCCCATCTGTCTCCTGGTCTTTTCATCACTACCTCCTCCAGTTAATTGGGCCACACATAAACTCTGTGATTACACAATAATACTGAAAATACTCCATCGTTTAATTGCAAGAAGAGCTACGTTAGAAATGTAACAATTCATGTATTTCTTATACCACTAAATCAGTATGTTACGGAGACTAACCTGCCTTGAACCACATCATACTACTGTTATATTCAATACAGTTGAGTTCAGTTCAAGTTTAAACAAGATGCACCACACTGACTACTGCTCTTCAAAGTGTTTTTATAACTTAGTAGCATCAACTATCAACATGTATTTTTCAACAACACACAAAGGATAAACCTATTCAAGTTAAAAAGCATCATAGTTCAGTGGTAAATACTCCAGTCTTAGGCTGTGAACCACACTGACCTTCCCTTCATGTCCATGACAAGGACTCATCTGAAGATCAGTGAAAGCATAACTGGCAGACTTGACACAAGTTAAGAATTTGTTACGAAACCAAATAGAGTAATTAGAAATCTCTAATCTAAATTAATTTCTTGCAGATGAGGTCCAGCTTTTACGGTAACTCACTGGCAGCAGCTGTGTTGTAAATAATCAACTCTGCAATTGCTAAATGCATTTCTGGAGTTTGGTGCAGTCAGCACAGCTATAATTAGACAGGCTGGTCCTAAAGCAAAGGATCATTTTGTACTAAAGAGTCTCAGTCACGGAAGGACAAAACCACTATGTACCACTTCTGGGTGGAGCCTTTTGAATGCACAAAAATGCATGAATCAGAGAGAACAGTGGGCACATGGCGAAGTGAATAACACTGATTATGTCTTCAACATGGCACCTGTGGGTGGCATACACTGCATTAGACATTAGTTATAGATGATTGGCTCAAAGCGTTTTGAAAACTACAGATTGTGGGGTGTTCCCAAGCTGCAGTGAAAAGCGCAGAGTTTTTGAGAAAATTGGTTAGGCAATGTTATGGCTGACTGGAGTCATTTGGTGCAGCATCAATGGAAGTTAAACTTTTAATGGACCACATCTATTACAGAAAAAAACATCATCATGCCTTGTGCATCATTTTATCTCATAAAAAGTCTGTTTAATGAAGGACCTGACTAAATCAATGTTTTTGAGTGGAAATAGCCAATTTTCTATCTGATTAGTCAATATAAATGATTTCCCCCCTTTGGTGCAGAGTTAAATTCACATAATGCCTCTGCAGACAATGCACAGTCACTTTGGCTGTGCTGCCCCCTTTGCACTATGCAAAATGCAAATTCATCTCTAAGTGGAGAGACGCCAGGAGCATATTTGAATACAATGATCCATAAAGTGTGAAACTAAACAGAGAAGCCGTTTCATTTTAGCCCTGCCAGGGGTTATAACATAAGTGTGTGTATGTGAGTCTCTGTAACACTAAAAACTGAATTTATATGGGTAGATTCACTCCAGGAAGTCCCGTCACACTAATGGTGGCAATTTAAGTCATGAAAGGGGAAAATCTGTTTCATTACACCACTGAGAGTCTACCAAAAGCCTGCCTCATTGGCTTTCAAATGTACAGAAATCCCAACCCTTTCTCACAAAAGTGGAACTAAAAACTCCAACGAATTGAGGTCCTTTAACATATTTCAAAAGCAGGGTCTCTGGGGTAAGACTGACTTTTGTTCCAACAAACCTTCACAGCAAATCACAGCAGATGGAGATTTGCATTTTCAGGACAAACAGAACAGGGGCAGATAAGGCCTGACAGCATAGTTACTTTCAAACCAAGTTCAAGGAGACATTAACAGTCACGATGTACACCCCACAAGTTCATTCACAGTAAATGAGAGGTAACATTACTGCAGACAACAAAGGCCCCAAACAACACAGGCCAAAATCTAATATAGGAAGAGATTTACAGCTTGGGTCATTTGAGAAAAGAAAACAAAAACAAAAAAAAACACAAAAATTAGCAAGATTACTGGTTATCCTCCAAGGTAGCTCACAATAACAAATCTTAAAGTATGATTTATTGCTACAGAGAACTACATGATAATAATAATATTGAAACTACTTTATGCCACAATAACAATAAAGCAAGATTACACCAGTAAACCACTTTTTAATTTTTAATCTTTATAATATAGAAGCTATTAAGTCTACCTTCTACAGCTCAAGATATTACAACTAAATAACAAAAATCTCCCCATTATTGTAAAGAAAAAGTACAAACACTGAGTCCAAAAGTATATTGTTCCATATATTAAATGATAAGTTACAGGTATATTATTATTAGTATATCTTAATATCATCATGGGCCTATTCAATGACCTCCACAAGAATGCTCATTCTTGACACAAAAAACAGTCCCATTTCTTCCTCCAAAGTCTGAACTCTGCTCCAAATAACATTAATTTACTGAAAGCTGCAGGTGTAGACTTGTAGGCTTGTCACAATAATTACTATATTGACTTATCATTCAATATATATGAAGGCTGGAACAATATATTTGAGAGTTCAGTATTTACCATGTGTAAATTTTTTTTTGCAATAATGGGGAGATTTGGGGTATTTCTGTTTTACAATAAGATTTGATCTGTAAAAGGTTGAATAAAAATGTTATGGTTAATTATTGCTTCATTCTGCAATAATTAGTCATAGCAGCTCAGGCCTTTTAATGATTCTACCTATTTAAAAAAAACAAAACACTACTGGAATTATCCTTTATTTTAATCTTAGTAAGTGGCATAAAGTAGTTTCAATATTATTATTATTATTATATCTTATTATTTATCGCAATATTTCTCTGTAGAGATATATCGTGCTTCAAAATGTATATAAACTTACCCATCCGCGAACCCCAAGCGTCTCATTGATGATCTGACATGACTGGATATGGATTTGATTAAGATTTGATTTATTGGGCAGCTCTAGCCTCCACACAAGTAATTTTAAATCATATCCACCTAAACCAGCACAAGTGTCAGATCCAGTCAACACATAACGCAGCAGGCAATGTGCAGTTTATTACCCACATAAATACCCCAATAGGCCCATTGGCTGCATATATATTCAAATACAAAAGCTATGAAGAAACTCCCAAAGGAAATTAATTTAGCTGTCCACTGGGTTACAGCTGTGATTGAAATTCATTGTATTCTTTGCAGTGGGAATAACATTGTGCTAAAGCTGATTTAAGAATGGTAGTTTGGTGCAAGAGTTAGGCCTTTAATCAGTGGTCGACTGTGCAATGGGAGAGCAGTGGCCATGTGAGAAAAGCAATGGGGAAAGAATTGGAAGTCTCGAGGATGAATGGAACAAAAACAGAAAGATACAGCTCCCAAATGGCCTATTAACAGACTTTTTTTTCGTCTTGAATTCTGATGAATGCATGTGTGTATGAATTTGCAGTGATGTGAAAAATACTTTGAAAATGTATTTAGTTACATGTATGTATTACAGAACACTGAATACTTGCATTAAAATGCATTTTGTAACGTTTTTCTGATACATTGTCCAATCAGAGTACTGTATTCTGAATACTCGGAGAACTTATACACCAAGTTGCATTTAAATTACAGTATGAAAACCCAGCATAGGATTAAAAAGAGCTTCATGTTTGTTTCACTGTTTGTTTTGCATTTATTTATCACAAATTGGAGAAGGAAAAATCACACATGCACTCACCACAAGAGCTGTGTTTTCCATTTTTCTCACTGAATGTGTGCAGTTTGAAACTGAAATTTTGTGACCATGCACTGCAATGCATTTTTTGGTTTTATAAATAAATAAATAACTAAATAAATAATAAATAATAATACATGACACTTGTATAGCCCTTTTCAAGATACGTTAATGAAAGGTGATTTTAAAGAGATGGGTTTTCAGGGCTTTTTTAAACATGGGGAATGTGGATGAAAATGAAAAAAGAGTAACTGTACTGGAATACGTATTTGCTGTACATGTATTAATTTGCTTCTCAACTATGTGAATTTGTGTTAACCTGTTTAAATGGGCAGTGAGGGTTTACACAGAAGAGAGAAGATTTGAAAAACAGGACTAGAGGTTTTCCTGTTGGATTCTTCAGCTCCCATCCAGAAGCCTTTTTAAATTCTGAAGCAGCACCTGAACTACAGCTGAATTTATACGGCAAAGAAGGGAGCAGTCTAATGGCCTATGGTTCAGTTTGTTTACTGCAGTCTTAACCGAATTAGCTCATTTCCTGCTAGACTAGTACTAAATAACATTAAAGTTTTTTGTTACCCATACTTTGAGCTTGGCCAAGTAAGAGTAGGAACACTGGTGTAAACAAGTAAATTTAATCTAAGTGTTCCTTTCCTGTTCAAAGATGCGTTTTCTGCTATAAAAATGCCTCTCAAAGCAGCTTTAGATGGAGTGAGACGCTGTGAAAAGAGGTGTACGAGGTATATGTAACTTTTCTTACTGATGGACTGGAGACAGTGGCTGTGCTCCTCTCCACTGCGGTGACTTGACTGTTGCCGAATCCTGCAATAAAGGACAAGGAAAATAATAGGTCAGAATAGTATTTTTATTTGCAATGTATTCAAATGTTTAAGTTCATTGGTTCTTGGAGAAAACCTGGATATGTCATTGCTCAGCCTTGAATGTTCCACAGTATGACATTAAAAAGATCTACCTTACATTTATTTAATTACAGGTGATTTATTGCTCAAAAATACCTAAAAAAAAAAAAACCTAGCCTCTCCACAGATTTGACCTGCAACTTGGCCTGGTTTCAATGATGAAACCAAAGCTTTAATGCCATACGGTGAAACATTTCAGACAAAGCAATAATGTCTCCATTTATGGACCTTACACCAGAAAATTTACACAATGCACCTTTAACGCGTCTAACCAGTTTAAATTCACTCTGAACTTTTAGCGGTCTTGATGGTTGAACAGCAAGAGTTGAGTGTACGATGCAGTTTAAGAGCCAGTAAAATTCACTCATCAGTGTTAAATACTAAGAGACACATACAAATTTCTGACAAGGCCAAAACCCATTTCCATTTAATTGCAACTCATTCATTTTCTCACAGTGAAAAATAAAATAATGTGAGTGGGTTATAGCACAGTTTGTAGAGAAACAGTTCAAACGGCACATTACAGCAACAATGATAGTCTTTAAATTGGTGAAGCTTGTGAGTCATTATCTTTTATATGAAGTATTATCTACTCTCTATGTTCCTAAACTTTGTCACATCTCCAGGACATTAAAAGATGCACAGTTGACCAGACAGCTGTTACTCGGACATACTAGTATAAGGGATACTGGTTTCTCCATCTGCTTTTCATTCATCTCAAGGTATTGTATGAGAATTGCACAGTATTAACATGGAACGTGGTGAAAAATGTCTGCACTTAAGGACTACCCTCTATAAAGCCAAATAATCTTCCTGCATTTTCATTTATTTGATCCAATTTCTCCTCCTGCTTTTAAAACCTCCATGCCTCATCTTCCTCATATCTCTGACCTTTCACTCAAATATATGCCATCTTCTTAAAGCTGCTTCACAGCTGTGCACAAACACACTCGCTAGAATTATTTGTCTACAATTCATGATAGCCACTTATGTGAACAAGCCTCAATATAAGGACATTGACTGGTTCCTGTACTTTCATCAGTGAAATCAAACAAAGTACAGCTTTGAAAGTGTAAGTGAGATTGATGAAGAATCACAAAAAATCATTGTTTAGGATTGATTTTGATAAAATAAAGGTCTGAAAATCTGTTGACAGTGTAACAACTACATTGGCCTAAAAAGACATCAAAGTTCAACCTTTTCTTGATAGTCTATTAGTCCTCATCCAACAGAAAAGTAAAAGGAATGCAAACACAAGTTTTTGGTATAGGCCCTGTGCCAGGCACTGCTACAGAAACCATCCATCCTCTTGTAGCCAAACAGCATTGGTTTGGACGTCAGCCATGGAGTCTGCATAAAAAGGCGAGCCGTCAGGAGTGATAGAGACAACATGAGTCAACAATGTCCAGCAGGGACCTCACTATGGAGACTAAACAGAGCTGCAATGGGTCCAATGTCTCACTCAAACAAACTTGTAGTACCAGTGCTAATAAAGTGCTTATGTTAACCACTATAGTTTGTTGGGTAACAGTATGTTTATAGAGTTAGCTAAACGCTATTGTATTTTGTAAGAATTCAAAGTCTAACCATAGGCCTCCTAAGTGTATTGTGTATATTTAATACAAAATTTTCTTTTTTATTTAAGAAAAGGGGGACAATGCATATCAATGAACATTTAGACAAATGCAACAAATGCAAGAATGCCAGATTATAGCCTTATTATAGCTCATTTCCATCTGCAAACCCCCTGGCGGGATAATGTTATAAACAATAAAACATAACACACATAGGCAGGCGAACAAGGACCATTTTCAAATGATTAGCAGCAATAAATTGCTATCCACATTACTAGATTCTCTCTTAAAATGATCTATTTTAAGGCACTGAAAAAAACAACAACACAGAAACAGAAATGTGTTTCTGGGTTCCCTAAATGGGAGAAGCACAGCAGATCTATGGCACCTTTTAAACATGTGTTCTTGTATACTCAGTGAGCAAAAGACATCATCCTGAAGAGTGGCTGGTTCTGAGAGATATTGATGGAGGATGGAGATGTAAGAGCATTGGGTTCTGCTTGTACTCCCTTGGGTGCACTTTCACGCACCACAGGGAGAAGACAAAGCAGTGAGAAGGTTTGGGAGACTCAGATGAAGTAAATTCTTGACAGACAACTGTCCTGGGAGATTCTCCTGTACGTCACCTTGGACCAAAGGGAGACTTCCTCTGAACTCAAACAAAGAGCCAGCTCTAGAAGTGGAAAATATCAGGGTTTTAGCAAAAGGCCTGTGTGGTACAAGAAAGTTCTATGGTCAGAATATGGGAACTTGAAATATACTTATTACTATTACCATGTGCTTTAAGCGTTAAGTGTTGCTAATTGTTTTATCCCCTGTTCTAGCTGCACCATTTCTGGTGTACATCATTTAATGTTAAAAAGTACACTATGTAACTTTTCTGGTGGAGGGCCTAGGTCTATTTGTCTGCATGGAGGTGCCATCGCTTTGCCTCGCATATTCTACAGTATGGCATTATTTCTGTCTATGCTCATGGAGACAAGCAAGTGACACAACCAAGCCAAGTTACAATTCAGATCTTCAGTGAGGCAATCCCACTCACAGCAAAAATGTGTGTTTTTTAAGCCATTAAATAAAAACAACTGTAATTTAATTGGATAGAGTTGATAGGTTTAATGCCATACTGTAAAGCATTTCAGGCAAAGCAATAACAACTTCATGGAGACAAGCAGATGGCATACTCCCCACCGGAAAAGTTGCATAGTGCATCTTTAATTTTATACTTTGAGTTACACCTCGGGCTGTAGTGAGGGCAGAGTCTGCCCCATAATCCCATAGGCTCTGAGCTGTTTCCAGCTGAGCACTGAAGTGATGGATGGATGCAACTGTCTCATGTCCCACTAGTCATCTGAAACACAGGCAGAGATGATGGGGTCAAGACACACAGACGGCTGCACTGCCAAACAGAAGAGAGACAGCACAGCACCCAAAACCCAAAAGCATCACAAATGTTATCAGAGACAGAACTGTCTAATAACTCTCACTGTTTGTTATATTATGAAGGGTATGACATCAACAAAAAATGCTTTTCTCTATATTTACTACTCTGACACTGACATTTCATTTTAACCTTGATGCCTTTTTCCAAGTACCTGCTTTGCATTGCTCTGTATTACACACAGCAGTTGAAGCTGTTGCATCAGATGAGATTCAGTCCTGAGTTTTTCCAGCTCAGGGGCCTCTCTCAGGCAAATGTGGACCTGTCAAAGCCACACACTCTCTGGGTTGTACACAAAGACAAGGGGCCTTTCCCCCTGTAGCTCCAACTCTGCACCAATCAGATCAGACAGGAAAAAAATTACTCAACCGCGCAGAATAAATGTCATTACAGATTTGTAACAGAAAAAAAGTTCAATTGTCGGCTTCAACAAAACAGATATTTCAGTCACAACAGTACCAATAAGAGGCTACTATTTTTTATTGTTACCAAATCAAAGTCACTATAAAATATAGTGACTTTGGTTCGGTAACTATACTAACTACAGTATACTAAAATTTTAAAATGTGAACAGATTTTTTGACATAACAAAATAATGTACTTTAATCCAGTCTTATCTTAGTTCTGAAAAAGACCAAGACCTTTTTCTGAAACATCCAACTTAAAATGTTTGAGTTTTTTCAGAATTGATTCTCTTCAAATCAATATAAATTTTAGTGTCAATAGTCTCTGTATACTGGCCTCTTGTGGCAGGAGCGCATAGTTGGTCATATAGTAGACGGTAAATTTAAACTCTTGCATCTGCCTTTGCTTTGTGGTATCCTGGTATTCTTTACCAGGATCTTCTAAATGACCTAACTTAAAAGTATAGCATGTATTGGCATGGCAGTGATGAGAGAGAGTGTGATGAGGTGAGATGTTCTCCCTTGTCTCAGGGTATCCTTGTAACCTCGTTAGAACATCTCTTGATGAGTTAATTACCCTGAATTGTAAAGCAGGGCACAACAGCATTTTGATAGAGGCTTGAAAATTCTCATAAAGCAAGATCATTGGTATTGGGCTGAAATGCTGGTAAATGGAAGACACTGTGATGCCAATATCTAATTGCACAGAATTGTGTAGCACATTGGCCAAATACTTCAAATATTTCAAATTAAGCTAATCTGCAGTTTAAATGTCAGAATTTCAAGTTTAAAACTCTGAATTTTGAGTTGGTACAGTATAAAGGAACACCATGCATTGTTATTCTATTTAGATAACGGTGTGCAAGTGTGAAGATACTGCATTTACTATAGAGGTCGTTCCCAAAGTCTGCAGTGCTGCAGTCCCACCATCGATTGAAAGATCCCTCAGGCCCCCCAATAACAAATTGCCTTTAACTTTAACCTAAAAACTTATATACATTTTTTTAAAAGTTGCAAAAAGTAGTATTTGTGTAATAATTCTAAGCAAATATATGTACTTAGTATTCCTTGGTTGCTTCTTGTGTAAACATTTTTAAGCAAAAAGGATTTCTGGCAGCGTAAAAATAAAATGGATGTGGCATTTATTGAGTAACAGCATCTGGTCAGTACCATAGCTGGGCTATCGATGGATGTTGGGGAAAAACAGACAGAACTGAAGTTTAAAAGTTTCTCCGACTTTAAAACTTCAAATTTTGACTCTTTTGGCTTTTATTTTTTATTCACTGGTGGAAATGGGCTTCCACAAGCTTTAGCTGAAATTGAAAATCACACAGCCATACACTTCCACACTCTGACGCACTTGGAGTTGTCTTCCAGTCTTACTGGCCTCACCAGGTCAAAACAAGACTAATACAAAGTCATTTCAAGTTTGACATACCAAATATACAGAAAAAAATCATAAAACACAAAAAATACGCAACACCTA